TACTGTCTTGATGTTTTAACTGGCTCAACTTGCTGAATCTGTCTGGAAGTCTTTAGCATGGAACCACGAAGATTACCCTTTTCCTTGGCCCTCTGTTTGTTCTGAAAATACTGGAAAAAGACACTCCCATTTTGTTCTCTGCATGTTTATGTTTAGGCCATAGCATAAACGACATGATTTACAAGATGGAAAGTTGATTTTACTTGGCCCCAGATGCAAAAAAAAAATAAAAAATCCAAGTCATCTTCTTAGTTTTAATTATCACACAAAGAACATAATCCAATTTTAAGACTACAAAGGGACGGGGATCAATTGTATCTACATAAAATGTAGAAACTCATGTTTTTCACTGTTTAGCGTCATGGTGTTAGGATGTGACATGATTCACTAATTGAATTATACCAGAAGGGCTCCTGATTAGTGAAGAGAAGTTATGACCACTCACTCTTGACTGCTTTAGCCATACAATATTATTTCCATAGCAGTGGTGGGATGCAAAGTGGTTTACCACCGGTTTGGTGGGCATAGCTGGGCCCAACAGCAGATCATTGGAGTGAACTGGTTTACTCTCAGATGATTTTCGGAGCTACCAGTTTGGTCAAATCAGGCTGAACCGATAGAATCCCACCCCTGTTCCATAGCATTTATTCTGTTAAAATCAACCCAAACCTCAAAGCAGTCCCTTGATGCCAAAAGCAGCTGCTCTCCTTTGGCAGTTCAGGGCAATCTCCCTTCAGTTTCTCTCCACTGAAGTTCTCTTGTTTTACCAATAAAGGAAAATATTTATAGTTCAGGGTTGAAATGAGAGGTCCTGGATGCTCCCTGAGCGTGGTGCCTGATGGTCTTACCTAGTTTGAGCTATGAAATGTCTGCAAGAAAACAACCAAGCTCAGAGAGCACCCAGGACCCCTCAGTTCTCTTGTTTAGCCAGAGATCAAGGGGAGACTTGAATTTAGGCTTCCTTGGTTTCAGTCCAACACCTCAACCCATTGCACTGGCCGTCATAAAGCCTGGATGCCTCTGCCACATAGTCTTATATCAAAAACTGTGAGACTTACTCTTGTTTTCTCTCATGTTCATGTTTCCTTACCACCCATAGCTTATTGTGCTGAATAGAACTGTCTTGGGCTTGCCTTCCAATCATGCAAACTCTTGAGTAAATGGAATTAGTCAGTGGAACCAAAATTTCTATAACAGCTCCGGCAATTGTTTTATATGTCCTTAATTGTATCATGCAAGCCAGTGATGGGATTCAATTTTTTTTTTACCACCGGTTCTGTGGGTGTGGCTTTGTGGGTGCACTTTGTGAAACTTTGTGCAATTCATGCATGCAGAGGGGTTGCTGCTGACCTTCTGCAATCCTGGGCTCTCACTGTGTCTTCAACAGCTGACGCTCAGCAGTCTGCTGTTCCGTACAAAGCAGCTGAGCTTCAAAACCAGAAAATAAAGGTCAGAATAGAGGCAGGGCAGGTGGGTGGGCCCAGCAGCTGATCATCGGAGCAAAGGGGTTCACTCACAGATGATTCTCGGAGCTAGCATTTCAGCCAAACCAGGCCAAACCAGTAGAATCCCACCACTGATGCCAGCCCGATCAATAGAAAAATATACATACAGTCTCATTCAAGGATCAGCCCTGATTCAAAGTGGATAAGCATAGCAATTTTGTTTTTAAAAGCCTGGAAAATCATTATAAATGCAACAAATATTGGTTGGGTGACTTTGGGCCAGTCACATACACACAACCCGACCCACCTCACAGAGATGTGTTGGGAATAGGGGAGAAGAAAGGAGTATTATATTCTCCGCTTTGAGTTGCTTACAAAAATAGTAAAGGAGGAATATAAATTAAATAAATACAACTTTTTGATGATATTGCTTTAAAGTTTTCTTCTTTGACTTTTGGCTGAATAGGGTTAATTTAAATTTGGCAACACATAGCAGTAAGGAAAATCTTTAGTCATGAATCATGTCCACATTTTTCCATTGCAGTATTTTATAGTTCTTTTAGCCAAGATCCATTTCCCTGGTGACACCAAGATTAGAATGCAGTATTGTAGGCTTATTCTACTCACAGTCAGCAATTCAATCCTGATGTGGCTCGAGGGTGACTCAGTCTTCCATTCTTCCGAGATCAGTAAAATGGGGATCCAGATTATTGGGGGAAATATGATGCCATTGTACACTGCTCCAAGAGTGCTATAAAACAGGTCTCCAACCTTGGCCACTTTAAGACTTGTGGACTTCAACTCCCAGAATTCCTCAGCCAACTTTGCTGAAGCCAAAAGTTCGAAAGTCTTAGTGGCGAAGGTTAGAGACCTCTTCTGTAAAGCTATATATAAGTCTATTGCTACCACCCACACCCTGGAGCTATATATAAACCTATTGCTATTCCTCCCCTCTTCCAAATCTACCAGATAGTTTTAAAATAATTTAAATACTGAAGATGGTGTCTATAGCGTAAAGCAATTGATCTCAAAAGTCATACTGATACCAATCCTAAAATCAGAAATCATGAGGGCAAGACTAAACCGTGTTGTTACAGTGTCAGTAGCATAAATCAGTCTTCCCTGTATTGAGTACTTATCAGATGTCAAATTCCAGATTACCTCGTTGTGGATTATACAAATTGAAGTCCAACAATTGCAGAGCAGTCATCTTGGAAAAGCTTGATGAAATTGGATGTTAAGAACTGTTTGCCAATGGTATCCCTTTATAATTAACCTGTAATTAACGTTTAATGTTATATTTTAACTATTCTTGTCGTATTCTACATTTTTACATTTGGTTGTCCTGTTTTAACATTTTTATATGTTAATATTTTATTTGTACATTATCCAGGGTCCCTCTGGAAGAGAGATGGGTGATTTCTATAATAAATGAATGATACCTTTCTGGGCTTCAGAATTAAGATGTTGTTTTTTTGTAAAATACTGTCATTATCATTGTAATGTCCTTGATTCATGACCCAGTGATTTACTCAGATCAGACAAGAATTCAATTTATGCATGATATTAGATGTCTATTGAGCTGCTGAACAAGTCACAGCTAGTTAATTTACAGTATATGCCATGCTTAGCAATAAACCATTTGTTTTATTTATCATAAATGATTTTTTGCAACTTAAATAATTTTGACTCTAAACAAATCACAAGCAAAAGTACAGTAACATATAATAATCACAAAAAAAATCCATAACCATCTACTGTTAAATCATATAACAAATTCAAAAAAAATAATTCCTAGTATTAGCCCCTTATTCACCTTGGGCACTTTCAACTGTTTACAACCTAACTACTCTTTAAAAAAGATACTTCCTAAATATCAGGAGTGATAATACAGTTCTTGTTCTTGGGGGTAAAACATTTCATAGAAGGGACCTACTAGAGAAAATGCTTCTCCAGTTCCTTCACAATGCACCTCAATAACAAATAATCGGCTCTTAAGCCACACAGGACTTTAAAGAATATAACCAGCATCCTGAATAGAGCCTGGGAGCAGACATGCTACTGATTCAACTCCTGTATCATTGGTGTTACAAAGCAGTACTACCCGGTTGTAGACAATTTGGCAAGCTGCCGTTTCTCAATGGTGTTGAAAGGCAGACCTGTGGACAGTGAATTAAGGGTCCAAATGTAAAGTGGAGGCATGATGATGATGAAAACCATCATCATCATGCATCCCCTGTTCCAGAAATGGGCACACAACTAGTGCACCAACTGAAGCTGAGCAAACTTCCAACTGTTTTTCCAACAGGAGCTGAGTGTCCTGGAGATTGTGCTACCTCTATATATGCCTGCCTGCCTGCCTGCCTGCCTGCCTGCCTGCCTGCCTGCCTGC